TGGTGGGGAGACTGACTCCAACATCTTCTGTGCAGCCTTCACCACTCTCTGCAAAGCTTTTCTTTCTGCAGCTGTGCAGCCTCCATGCCACACGTTGATGCTGGAGCACAGGATGCTCTCCACTGCACACCTGTAGCAGGTGTGCAGTGGAATTTCCATTTCTGTCTTATCAAGACACTCAAAGCACTTTACACTACAGTTCCCTCATTTACCCGTTCATGCAGCGCTCTACTAGATCTTGGAAGCTAATTGAACAAATCTGTCTAAAGAAACTAATCAGTGCTTTAGGTCACACACCAATGGGACACACATCGGAAGCAATGAGGGGTACGGTGTTTTGCCCAGGGACACTTCGGCATGTGGTTGCTGGAGGATTCAAACCCCCAACTCTTGCCTTGGAGGACGACTGCTCTAACCGGGTGGCCCTCAGCCACACAGGTGAGGACTGAGCTTCTCAGACCAGCTCGTCTCAGCCGCCTGAGGAAGTAGAGTCTGATGAACTTTCTCGATCAGGCTGGTGGTGTTGTTGCTCCAGCTGAGGTTGTTGTTCAGGTGGAGACCCAAGTTCTTGTAGCTGGAGACCAATTTCTAGGTGTTTGTTCCGTCTAAAGTCCAACCATCTCCTTCGTCTTCTTCACATTGATGTGAAGGTTGTTCGTCCTGCACCAGCTCTCCAGGTGTTCCACATGTAGCACTGCGGGAATGGTTATCTTTTAAAAATGAATATGAACGTTATAATGGAGAATGTTAATTCTTTAGTCAACTTGCGATGAGTGAAAACCAACAACGCCACCTGGGACTATACTCCAGGAAATAAAAGGACACGTAAGTTTGTTCTACTGGAGGAAGGAGACAAGATTCAAATAAACTTTACCAAATTTATTGTGGGGGTAATTTGCACGAGTTAAAAATATTAAAAGTATTTTAAAACATGCAATACCAGAAAATTGTTGACTGCATTTAATTGTTTCACACAGCTGTGCTGGAGTTAAAAAAAACACTAAAATATCAGGTGAGACTGAGGCTTACTAGTGGGGAGGGGGCTTTAAAGACAAGGAGACCACATCCAGTGAATGAAGAGGGATCACCTAAACTACAAAAGGAAAAGGAGTGTTCCACACACAAAGCGAGACACCGCCACCACACCAAGTCTCAGTCCCTGAAAAATAAAAATGAATAATGAACAAACAGCCTTAATGAAACAGCCGCGTCACAATATTTCATAAAAACAGATTGAGTGGTGCACTCAGTTCATTAAAACCAAAGCCTCAGCCAGTAGGGCAAGGGCCCGAGTTAGTTTTATATTTTTTTCCTCTAGGCAAAACAGCAGCGAGCAGAATCCAGCTGAACAGCAGGAGAAGGCTCATCTGAAAACTAAAGGGAGCAGATCGTCACTATTAAACTCAACCATTGACAGCAGAATTTACAGAATCTCATATTGCCTACCTGCAAATTTGTGTGTTACAGCACAATCTTATAATAGAGTTGCTGTATAAATTGGATCGGGCAGCTTCAAGCCATAAATTGGGCACACAACAGACAGACCGGTCTTATACCCAGGAGGCACAGCAGAGAAGAGGCTAGACGGAGAATGGTATCTGCAGCATATGTGACACGCCGTGCACCCACAGATGTGACACGCCGTGTACCCACAGATGTGACAC